ATACTGTTCATTATGCGACACAAGGTGGTTCTAACTTTTTATGATGTAGAGAAAGCACTGTTGTGTGACCATTCACATGAAAGCTTTGGAACTATGTTTTCATGTGGTACCGTTAAAGGCGGCTCGAACTTTTGAATCTGGGTGAAACCCCAGTGTGTGACCATTAAAATAAAGCTATTCAGCAGTAATTTCACGTGGTACTGTTTATTATGCTGTACAAGGTGGTTCTAACTTTTCAGTCTGTGGACGAAACTTCGTTGTGTGACCGTTCATGTGAAAGCTATCGAAGAATACTTTCTTATGGTTCTGTTTATTATGCTGAACAAGGTGGTTTAACAAGTCTGGATTAAATTCTAATGAAAGCTATTGAAAGCAGTTTTTTCAGGTCGTACTGTTTACTATCTTGTACAAGGTGGCGTTAGCTTTGAACTTTGGATAAAACAATAGTGTGTGAATATTCTAATGGAATCTTTGTCGCCATATTTTCGTGTGGTGTTTATTTGACATTTTACAAGAGGACAAACTTTGTCGAGTTTGTACAGTTTGACGTATCTACCTTGCTGAACTGCTGGCTTTGAACTTCTAGAGAACATGAAGCAGACAGACATGATTTAGTCGCAATCGTTATGGCTGCTCGGGGTTGTACTGTTTCATTAGGATGTTCTAGAGGACTCGATCACCGAGTGATCAAAATGGATCTGTGGCCATCTTTTAGTCAGCCTAATGTCAGGGAAAAACAACCCTTATATGTTGAATGTAGCCAATTTAATGGCTATACGTTCACAAGTATAACTTACGCCAATTTGTTGGAGAATATCGAATGAAGCCAACAGTCTTTGGGGCAAATTACTCACAAAACGAGCTAAACTTGTGTGTGGTTTTAAAGTATGTTTTTTCATACCATAAAACCTCTAGCAATATGAGTTCTTCCTCTGAGATGGATGCTGGTAAACAGCACACTAGTACAGCTTCTAGCATTCTGTTAGATGGCTAGATCAAACGCCAAACGGCAAAATTTGCTAGTTCCCATTTATACACCAGGGAGGAGAGGGTAGGGTGTCTTGTCCAAGGAGCCTGGTCAGGACTTAAGCTTCAAGTGTCTTACTGGGGAATCTATCATAATATTTGATAAGTTGTTATGATTGTAATTTTAATTATATTAAAATAGTTTGAATTTAGATGGTTCTTGAGGAGCTTTATCCTCGAACCTGAACGTTGAGTCACTATTTTTTTTGATCTGGATTGTTTATTTGTGCTTGTTGTGTCTTACCACGTTGTTATGCACTGCTAAAGAAAAGGAACGCTATAACATCAAGGCATTAAGACATTCCAAGTATGACACAAATAAGCAAATGAAATACGTGTGAATTCGTTTTCTGTCGCGATTCTTCCAAAAGACGTGAGGTAGATGTGTCTGTTTCGTAGATTCTGTCTTTCTTCTTACGAATGTGTTGCCCATTTTGCTTTATGGAGAAAAGTACGAGGAAACCTCTGGAACTCCTTCCATTGATCGATTCATTACGTTTCTATGTAAAGGAAAGTCTTCGTAACGATTAAGCGCTCAGCTTTCCTAGCATCTAGTGTGTTGTATCGAAACACCATTGTGTAATTTTGTTTATTGATCACACAAGCACGAGAATAATCGAGTGCCTAAGAAAGACATATCATTGTTCGTGAATGAAGACGTTGATTGACAAGCTGCCAAATTATGGCCTGACCTCCTCCAATGACGTTTCGCCCTAGGTGCTTTGGGGAATGTGCGTCCCAACAAAATAAAAGTGCGCGACCAATAGCTTCTCATAAAAGTGTAAACGTCACACTTTAAATTTTCTGGGGCTATTTAAGAGGCAAGGAAAGTTCCAGTCGTTCTGCGATGTTTATTGCGCAGTAGAAAAAACAATGTTTCAGAGAGATTTTAATGTTCGTAAATATTGTGTTTGGGACATACAGTTTGAGTAGAGAAGAGCTATGGAGAAATGGACGCAATTGAAGGTGCGTTTCCTCTTATTTGTTTCTAAACTGATGTATGGCTTAATAATCTGCGCTCTAAGCTCGGTCTTGTTCCATCTAATTGTTTCGACTAGGCCTGTTGTTGTACTTGAAACGGAAGGTAGTACGTAGATCGTGAAATTCTGATTCACTGTCTCTTCTGATTTAAGTGTTAAGTTCTCATGATAGTTTTTGTCCGAATTTAGACTGCCTCGTTTCGTTCAGTTAGCATTTCGTAGCATTTCTGTGAAGTATCTTTACAGTCAGTTTCGATGAGAAATGGAATGGCTTACTCGATTGATAAATTTTACTAGCTGTGGCCGTGTGTAACAGGATAAAACGACAAAAGTCTTCGTGAGCGCCACATTTTACTCTGGAATCTTTTTTAGCCAGTCTTTGTGGACTGATCTCAATGTTGCGTGATATGCGCGCTTCGTTTATTTGCATCGCAGTTTAGAATCAAAATTGTCGTTTAGACAGTTTTAGAGCGGCTCTATGATTTGATAACTTTACAGAATGCACACATTTAAGCAAATAGCCAAATGCGTTAAGTACAGATTTCCCAACATTGAAGAGCAAAATGGCTTGTTATAAAAACTTAATTCCATGAGGCTTGTTCCTAGCGTGAGGTATCTGACTCAAGAACAAAGAATGCTTGTTAATCAGTCCACCTTAGGAAGGGGAGGAGCGAAGGTAGGGAGAGAACCAATTTGGATCTCCTGCACCGCGCGCGTGTGGCTCTGAGCATTTCGAGACATGACATGGCATTTAATTAAACGAGATGTTTTTCTTAGAATGCTTGTGTTGGAAGCGCATTTATCATTTACTATTCGTTGGGCTGTTTGATTATATATACAGTTCCGTCTCGTTTCTACCGCAGTACAAGTATTTTAAAAGTTTAACTATATACGCGCGAAGCGTAGGTGGTTGGCCTACACTTGAAGTTTACAGATTCAGTTGATACCCTAGATCGGCAAGCATCCTCTGTAATTCCTGATTCTTGCTCAAGTCGCTAAGCTGTTGAGAAAATGAAGTTTGATTTAAACTATGCCAGGTTAGATTTTCACAAATGAATATAAACTGGCAACAAATGTTGAGCTAGCGAACGACAAGATGCTCGTGAATGTTACAATGTTGTAACATGTCAAATAACTGACGTCGGAGTTGCTAAGACTGATCGTAGCAATGTTTCATCGTGCGTGTGTTGCTTACACTGAATTCAGTAGTTCTTTGGCGTCGTATAAAACTGTCATTCAGTGGATCGATAATCACGTTGCGTTCATTGACAACAAGATGAAAGTCTCTTACCTTGGTTTTGATAAGTTGGCAAAAAAAGTTTTAGACATGGTGATGTCCTTTCCGCTTCCATCTTCCATGGTATATTCTCCTTTAAAAGTAGACAGTATTTGCAAAGAAGTGGGTTACAAACAGTGACAATAAAATATCAGCGTGGCACGGTGTATTTCAAGAAATACCTCCTTGTCGGCGCCGAATCGTTATCATTTCTTCGGTACTCGTGATAATTTGTTAGCGCTTCACACTATTCACTTCTCTTTCGAAAAGCTTGTATCCTACTTGAACCGTAAACCCTGCAATTTTTCGAGAAAGTGTTTGCTGGAAACTTTCTCAGACTTTCGACATAAGACGCAGCATATGTACTTACTCCGCCTTCGTGAGTCGTACATTATGACCGCTTCCAGATAGTTGCTGAGGACACCTCCCCATACTTGAACGAATTCGATAAAATCATTTACAGGATCTCCCGGCTGGGCCATATTGGGTTTGATTCGAAACTGAAATTGTAATCTTTAAGTGGAAACTGCCCTCACTCTTGCTCAGAACAACGTGCTTGAATCGGCGAGTGATAAACCGACCATGCGCGCAAATTATGCTAATACCTTAATGACGGCAGCACCAGAATAATCTAATTTTAGTAGTCTCTGTCAACCAGCACGTTCTCTCACACGCGCGCGCGTGAAAACGCGTCTCCCATATGCGCGCGGTAGCGTGCAAACGCTCGTTAGTGATTTCTTTCTTTTGAACCTGTCAAATAGAATCGAAGCTTTGCGTCATCGTCGGTTGCATGGCTCTAAACCTGTTTCTAATATTTGTCGAACTTAGCAGTCCTGTATATTTTTTTCCTGAGAAAGTTGAAGTATTTGCCCTTTGGCTTTGCTTGTCGCATATTGAATATGGTTAGTGCAATTATAAATGGGAGGGTTAGAGGTAGAGGGAAAATAGATTCGGATCATTAGCACCTCGTGGGTTTCAATCGATGTTTCTAGACGCTTGGCACATTGCATGACATCTTTCTACGCGCGAGATTCGTGTTTTCATCTTAAGT